TAGCTGTAAGTTATTAATGCTTGTTGCGATTTTATTGCCCACGTTGCGATTTGAAAATATACTTAGACTGTAATTGATTTAATTGTACTATAATTTTTTATCAAGCAACCGCAACTGTTGATTTTGTTTCTATTGTTTTTTTTTATAATTTCATTGGTTAGTGGTAAACTCATCGGTATTTAAGTCACAGTGAAATGTAAAATAATTAAATCCTAAGAGCGGGCGCACATCTTTGACTAAACTGTCGCACAATTGTTATGCGATTGTCCATTGTTTCGCAGTCAATTCAACTGTTTAGTTGCACAACTAAAAATCGTTAGCGTCCGCACCTCCATATAAGCTCATAGGAATCAAAGCAAGACTAAACAGTTTTGGGACAGTTTAGTCAAAGTGCGCGCTTTAAACGTTTTCCACATTCATTTTTATTCTTCCCGTGATTACCTCATGACATTTTCGGTCTATTTACATCGATTTTCCGTTATTTCATTTGTAACCTTTCACATATTACATTCATATATGTATACATATTTAAAATTAGCTGTTCCCATGCGACTTCATCCGCATAATATTATGAAAATTTTTATTTCATTGTTTACATGTGTCAAATTATCAATAGCAAATTTCAAAATGACATGACATGACAAACCTTGGCAATCTTGCTTCCTTAATGTTGGCAGCAACTTATGGTCTCTTTCCCACATTAGGGTTTTTATCCAAAATATTTACCCTTAAGTTTAACGGCGTGAAAATATATAGCCTAAAGCGTGACGTAAATGTAGGACTTTTTATTAAAAAAAGAGTTATCGAAAATATGCTGTAATTGCTGACATCTTAGGCAACAAAGAAATGTGTGTTTACGCTTTATTATATTTGTATAGTATAGATTGCCTCATACAATTTATAACATTACAAATCTGACGGTAGATATAAATTGTGTAAAAGATGGATGTACTGTCGCATAAGAATCGTAAATACCCTTCAATGTGGTAATGCAATTTATCTTCCTAGTGTTAGATGTCATAAGGAAGTGTCTTTCAATCCGCAGAGCTGCATATTACTTTTCTAATCTTCAGTTTTATAGCTGAGATGACACATAATTTAACTATATTATGAATACGTTAACTAACGTATTCATGCTTACTTGAATGTCATGAGTACGGATGCTGTCATTAGTATGGAACACAACTTGATATGTAGTAGTAAAATTAATTTGTTTACTTTATGGCGAATTAAATATATGAATCCATTTGCATGGACAAGTGTTTTCATTTGTTTTTTCTTAAATTTATCTGCAATCAGTGTTTAACGTTTTAAGCATTACGTGAGGTATTATTAATTTTAAGAGTTTTTTCTACATCGAGAAACATATTTTACATAAGATTATAATATTTAGCTTCTTTTAAATTTAAAAATTCAATAGCTTTGTATTTCCATTAGGTAAAAAATATAAACAAAATTTAATCTTTCCTAATATCAATTATACTTTTAAATTTAATCAAAGTTACTCCAAACGCGTTATTTTTGGAATGTTTAACAAACTTTTGCATCCTCTGAAGTTTCATCAAACAAAATTAAAGCCAAGAAAAAGGAAAACTCACAAAATGCGGTAAAAACGCTTTAATTTCTTAAAGTGCTTTCTATTCTTATTCTGGAGAAGAATATAAAACCGATACCCATAATCACCTTTCTCCTTATCCTACTCCCGTAGGGTCGGCGCGACAGGTTTTTGTCCTCCACTTAACTCTATTATACGTCATCTCAGTTATTACTCCCTTTTTGATTATGTCACCTTTCACGCAATTCATCCCTCGCTTTCTAGGTCTACCTCTACCGGTGTACCCTTCCACACTCATAACTAACGTTCTCCTTCAAACATGCGATTCACCCCTCGTCATAAAATGTCCATCGATCCAACCTCAAATTTCCTTACGCCCGTGGTTTGATGAAGTCCAAATGTCAACTTCAAACACAAGGATGGCAATGAGATTACGCTCCGGACACATTCCAAGTAACAAGCTTGGATGGCTAATCAAAAAAGTTAATTCACCCAATTGCAGTGAGTGTAGTGTAGTTGAAGATGTTCAGCATGTTGTATTGGAGTGTGTTCGGAGCGAGCGCATTAGACATAATTATTTTAAGCGTTACGGATGTAATGTCGGTCACTTAAACACTATCCTGGCTTACCCGTCTACGGACAAGGCCGGGATGGTGTTTAAGTTGGCCGACATCTGTTTGAGAAAACAGTTTGACAACTGAGGTTTTGAGAGTCAGACTTATGGGGCGTTATCGTCGCTTCGCGACAAAGCCCCCTGTAAAAATAAATTAAAAAAAAAGAAAAAACCTTGATAAAATGTCCATACCATGATAACCTTTTACTCCTTACTTTCTCTACCATAAAACCGATGTTGATTATAGTAAAGATTAATGCAAGCTAATTATAATTACTGAAGGAATGAGTTTTTATATATTACGCGTTGGGTGGTCAACTTCGCTTAGAGCGATCATTGCAAGATATCCTTTAAATGCACAATAAAAATACTTGAAGCTAAAACGATTAAACATTAACAAACATACTCGAAGTAGCCGTGTGAAGAAGTCACATAGGTGGTGGAAAAGATGTACCTTTTAGTTGTGGTATAGCGCCCCATAAACTATTACATTTTTGGTCGAATTTCATGTATTTGTCAAAGTATTTACTTGTAATTTACAAACTTGGATATAAAAAGAATACATAGCTAAATGTGAGGTATATTATGAGAGAGCGCGGACACCTTTGACTAAACCATCGCACAACTGTTTAGTCGCGTTTTGATTCATATGAGCTTATATGGACATGAGCACACCACTCATCACACATTTTTAGTTGTGCAACTAAACAGTTGAAAGGCGAAACAATTGACAATCGCCAATCGCAGACATCTTTCAAAGATGTGCGCCCGCTCTAAAAGCCAACAAAACCGTTAACTTCAGCGTATAAATCGTACATATGTATAGTAAAGGAACAGTATGTTTGTTTAAATTAAATATATCAATCAAACTCATCGCTTCTCAATCGTTGATAAAATTTCAACATGTTTACATTGTTAACGAATGCCGCTTTTGCTTTTAACTCTTTTAGGTACAAAAATTGTCCCAGATTTAATTGCCAATATTTGGACAGTCAACATAGATATGATTTCAAACGTGATGTTTTATCGTCGAGTTCGAATCGAGACGTATTATCACCATCATCACCATCATCACCATCATCATCAACAACATGATAATCATCATCTATCGGACTACAGTTAAGGAAGAGGAGACAGTGTTCAATAAATTTCAAAAGCATGCAAACGAATGCATTAATATAGTTTAAATCTACACGTATTTTTTTATTCAGATAAAGTTCTGTGATACATTTTAATTACAACTTAATAAAGGTTGTGGAGTGCGAAAAACAGTCGAATAAACGATAATGGGTCCGCTGAAACGCAGTTTACCTCGGCAGGACATTTTAACTACGCTCGTAGAAGCACTAAAGCAATTCGAAGTAAATAGTTACCTTTCCAACGACCTTTACGTGTTTAATAAAGTAGTCGTTAACATTACGCTTAGTTTCGGTATAAGGGTGTTATTTTACAGAAAAACAATGATAGTTTATTAGTTGGCTTCTGGTCTTTAAGTCTATAGTTTGTAATACTGGTTTGAAATTTACGAAAATCAGTAATTTATTGTTTTAAAAAATACC